TTAATGATCTAACTGTGCGAAAGCCCAACTGGACTTTAAACAGGCACTCCAACTGGCTTTATTGTTAGAAATTGTGGCAAGTGGCACATATGAGATGCAGGGTATTCCAATGGAAGTCCGACTGAGCTGGAAGAACAATACTTGAGCGAAGGCAATTGCATGGCCTCACTCGGGGCATATCCTGAGCAGAGGGACTCGAGATCAGCCCACAGCAAAACCCCAGAACGGTTAAAATTTTCTTCAGGATCTGGGCCGGCAAACCATTGTAGTTGATGCCAGTGTGTGGACTTAAGAAGCAAAGGAATCCTACTAGCCCTAAATTGAGGAAGAGAACTCATAGGCTGGTATCCAGGAGAGTGCACACTCTAGAAAGTCCACCTACATCTGGTTTGGAACAGTTAAATTGTTTAGCAACATCCAAATCAGAACCAATCAAAATAAATAAGTGTGGAACTGAAGGTACACAGTGGGCTGGGCAGGATCAGAGGAACAGGAACGATGACGATTTGGGTCAGGACCCTTCGGCCTGCTCTGTTACTCCAGCTCCACGCTTTGTTATCTCTGACTCCAGCATCTGCAGTTCTTGCTATCTCAATCAAAATAAATGTCTGGTTAAATGGTCGCCTGGTTCTAATGGAGGTTGATACCGGTGTGGTCGTTTCAGTGATTGCAGAGCCAGTCTTTAACAAAATTGGGTCTGGACTCCAACCCTTAAGTTTTTGGCTAGACTGAGAACCTATACCGAGAACCTTTACAGAATAGGATTGTTCTCCTTAGAGCAGAGAAGACTGCTTGGAGACATGATTGTGATGTATAAAATCAAGGGACATAGATCAGGTTGCCAGGAAGAAACATTTTTGACTTGGTAGAGGGATCAGAGGTCAGGGAACAACATTGGGAGAGTGCATGAATGGGTCCTTTTTCATTTGGAAGATTTGACTAGTAGAGTACCACAGGGGTCCATATACATTTGTAGATGACACCAAGATAGATTGAGAAATATATTGTGAACAGGACATCAGGAGAAAGCAGATGGACATAAATAGGATGAGTGAATGGTGAAAATCTGGTGGATTGCACATATTTTGGGGAAAAAAATAGTTGCCTGCAAAAGTGATCAACAATGAAAAGCAAGGTACTAACTTACATGGAGAACAACCTTAGAGTTCCAAGGTACGGAGAGATCTAGTGTTCAAGTGCTTGGGTCACAGATGGTTAGTCAAGTAAAGTAACCATAGTTCTATAGGACTGTGGGGCTGCTCTCTCGTTAGAGAGAGATGACTGATGGTGAGTTTAACCTGAGGGTCAACATGACTCGGGCGAGGGGGCAAGATTTGAGAAGGTGGGACATTCATGGACACCTCAGCTGTTTTGAGAATTGAACCTACATGATCAGGATCACTCTTGCATCACAAAGCCAGCTGCTCGGTCAACTGACCCCTGGAAAACCCTGGGTTTCAAATGGTTAACATGCATGTTAAGAAGGCTGATGGAACACAGTCTTTTATTAAAAGATGAATTGAGCAGAAGAGAATGGTGTTATTCTTCGGTTATGCAGAGAATTGATGAGGCCATATCTCTGATAACTGTAATATTGGGCTCCTTATTTGAGGCAGTTCAGAGGAGATTTACTGGACTGAAACCTGGAATGAGCAGGTTTTCGTGCATGGAAAAATCAAACAGGCTAGGCTTGTTTCCACTAGAGTTTAGAAAAGTAAGATGTGACGTGGTTGTAGTATACAGACAGTCCCCAGTTTGTGAATAGTTTCTGTTCTGGAGTCTGTTCACAAGCTGATTTTATATGCAGGATGGAACACAATTTCAGGACAATGCAAAGTGGCCATGCGTAAGTATGTCAGGCCTTCAAAATCACACGTGTATGGGATCACGCTCATAAGTATAGGCATTTGTAAGTCAGACATTCATAAATCAGGGACCCTATGTATAAGATCCTGGATGACGAGGTAGACATGGAAATGATGTTTCATCTTGTGGGCAGGTCCAGACTTAGCAGGCACTGTGTACAAATTGATGCAGAAAAGATTTACAAGGATGTTACTGGGACAGGAGGTTTGAATTATAAGGAGAGGCTGGACAGGCTGGGACATTTTTCACCTAGCATAGGAGGTTGAAGAGGGACCTTATAGAGGTTTATAAAATCATAAGGGGCATAGATAAGGCGAATAACCAAAGTCTTTTTTTTTCCAGGGTAGGGGAGTTCAAAACTAGAGGTCATAGGTTTAAGGTGCGAGGGGAAAGATTTAAAAGGGACCTGAGGGGGCAACTTTGCACACAGAGGAATGAAATACCAGAGGAAGTGGTGGATATAGGTACAGTTATAACGTTTAACAGACATTTGGACAGGTAAATGAATAGGAAAGGTTTAGAGGGATATGAGCCAAATGGGACTACTTTAGTTTTGGAAACCTGGTCAGCATGGATGAGTTGGACTGAAGTGTCTGTTTCTATGATGTATGACTCTATGATTCTTAGAGTTGAGGAGAATTTCTTTCTTTTTTTCCCCTGCAAATGACTGTATGACTTTAAATCTCTGCCTCAGAAGATGGTGGAAGGGGAATCGGTGAATATTTTTAAAGAAGATTCTTGTGAGGCAAGGGAATGAAAGGTTCTGGGGGTAGATGGGAGTCTGGAATTTGGAAGGCTGACTGATCAGCTGTGATCAGATTGAATGGCAGAGCAGTTTGGAGAGGCAGAATAGCCTCCTTCAGTTCCTAATTTGTATGTTTGTAAAAAGAAAGTCCTTCCCTTTTAAGAAGGTGAGAAGAATTGCTTTTCTTTTGAGAGCAGAGAGTGATGGAGGGGCCATCACATACCTCCTGAGGCACTGTTAGTAGATTCTTAGCTAATGAGGAGGTCACCAAAGGTATTGGAGGTAGACAGGAAGGTGAAGATGAGATAGCAAGAACTGCCGATGCTGAGTCAGAGATAACACAGTGTGGAGCTGGAGGAACACAGCAGGCCAGGCAGCATCAGAGGAGCAGGAAAGTTGACGTTTTGGGTTGGGACCCTTTGTCGGAAATGGGGAGGGGGGAAGGGAGCTGGGAAATAAATGGAGGAGGGATGGGGCTGGGTAAGGTAGGTGGGGTATTGATAAGTGGATGCAGGTAGGGGTAGTGGGGATTAGTTGGTAGGAAGGGTGGGCATTGCATGTGAGAAAATCTGATTTTGGAATTTGCCTTTTTGCCTTTTGATAGGTGGGGAAGAAGATGGACAGGTTGTGTCAGACCAAGGAGATGGGGATGAGAGGGAGGTTTGGATGTGGGATGAGGCTGGGAGTGGTGAGATCTTAAAACTGCTGAACTCTAGGTTGAGGCCATCGGACTGTAGGCTCCTGAGGCGGAATATGAGGTGCTGTTCCTCCAGTTTGCATGTGGCATCATTGTGGCACTGGAGGAGGCCCAGGATGGACATGTCATCCAGGGAGTGGGAGGAGGAGATAAAATGGTTGGCGAGCAGAAGATATTGCCGATTATCGCGTACAGAGCGCAGATGCTCCACAAAATGGTCTCCGAGTCTGCGCTTGGCCTCACCGAGGTAGAGGAAGCCACATTGGGAGTAACGGATACAGTAGATCTAGTTGACGGATGTACAGGCGAACCGCTGTCACATATGAAAGGTTTGTTTTGGGCCTTGGATGGAGGTGAGGGGCAGGTGTAGCACTTCCAGTGGTTGCAGGGAATGGTGCCCGGGGGTGGTGGGGCTAGTGGAGAGTGGAGCGGACGAGGGAGTTGCAGAGTGAGCGGTCCCTACGAAAGGCAGATAGGGGTCAGAGAGAAATATCTCTTTGGTCATAGGGTCTCTTTGGTCATAGGGTCAGATTGTAGGTAGCGGAAGTGGTAGAGATGAGGCTAATTTTGGATCAGCTATGTAAAGGCTGAACAATCTCAAGGGTGTGAAAGGCTTACTCATGCTCTTGATAATGTGACCTACTTTTGTACAAAATCCGCCAAAAGTTAAATGTCTGATGTAAGTCAGATAAGAGGCCACAATTATTTGTGTTAGGACTTTGTCATATTTTGAGTAGTTGTTTTGCGAGGAATTGGGCGACTTTCCTTGTATGCTCTTTATCTCCAACAAAGTAAATTCTAAATGACAGAGCCTTGTCTCTACCAAATGTTGACAAGAAGCAAGAAACCGTTTTGTTTGCAGGTGGACCTGTTGTGATGATGCTGTGGCTTTAAGAGGTGTGTTTTGTCCTGCTTTCTTTTGAGACAGATTGAACAAGAAGCGCTAAGCAGTCTACAGTAATATAAACAACTTGTGAGGTCTTGGGTTTTGATTTACAGTTAGAACAATAGAAGTAGCCTGGATGGATGTGGCCAGCTCTCTCAGATCAGGATTTTCAGTTTGTTTTTTAGCTTTTAGCTTCAGCAGAAGCTGCTGGAAACTTGAAGTAGAAGCTATTTTTTCCTGTCTCTTAATTATAGCTAGAAGCTGGGGTTTCTCTTCCTACTGTGGGCATTGCATGTGAGAAAATCTGATTTCTGAATTTGCCCTTTTTGCCAAAGGGTGTGTTTATGAGATGTTACTGTATTGGAACATTTAATTAGTAATAGTTACTCTATATTATTTGTTAGGTTTTCTAACCGAATTAAATTACTCTAAGTTCTTCTTTCTTTTGTTGTATTTTAACTTGTGTTTAAATAAATTGTGTTTTGCTTAACGTCAAGTAGTTTGACCAGACGCCTTGCATTTGGAACACAGAACTTCGCATTTACCTTTTTGAAATTAGGAAAAGTTTGGGTCCAGGCTACCTTCTTACTATATCTTGACGGGGTCAGTCCAGTTTATATCACTGTGTTTTAAAAGCTGATGGACTGGGTTTTCCTAAATAAACTACACTCACGGGCACAATCCTTCATCAAAACTTGATGCTGGCGTTTTTGTTCCCTTGCACCTCATTTCCCAACCCAGGCTGGTTAGCAGATGCATTTCGTGAAAGAACAAAAAATAATTTGTCTTTATTTTGTCTATTCTAGTAGTAAAAGACCAGGCATTTGTGACTCTTGCTACCAATGATGTTTACTGCCAGGGTGCCCTGGTACTCTGCCAATCTCTGAGGCATCACAAGACGACTAGACAAATAGTTGCTCTATTTACACCACAAGTCTCCAGTAATATGAGGTAAGGCTCTATTTTAGTTTCGGTAACAATTTAAATATGAGGCCAGTTTTTGCTTTGCAATCATTTGCCGTGATTGTGTTCAGTGCCCTTGTTGGAGGGTTTGTTTCCGCTAAAAATCAAGTCACTTTTTCATTGTAGAACACACTGGAACTGCTGCTTGTTTCATAATTTATGTATGTTTTCTGGGGTCAGTTAGCTCAGTTGGCTGGATCGCTGTTTTGCAATGCAGAGTAATGCCAGTAGTGTGGGTTCAATTCCAAAGGTTACTATAAAGGATTCTCCTTCTCAACCTTGCCTCTCTACTGAGGTGTGGTGGACCTCTGGTTAAACCACAACCAGTTTTGTCTATCTCTCTGATGAGAGAATAGCTCTGTGGTCCACTGGGACTATGGTGACTTTACCTTTTTTTCACATTTCTTTTTCATGTTAAATCTGCTGTATTGCAACATCCCATCCAGTGTGTGAATTGGAGCATCATGAATTGAATGCAAAGTCCTTTGAGAGAGACTGGTTAACACCCAAGGAGAAATTATTTTGGGATCCCTGGTGAAGGTAACTTACAAGAATCAGACTTCTCAAGTTTAAGGAAAGGGATGACCTTTTGGGAGAAGAAATTCGAGCAGTCACTTGGTAGTACTGAGCATGAATATTGATGTATAGAGGGATGGAGTTGCTGAAGCTTTCCATCTTGTATTGATCAGGGCAAATGGCAAGAATGCCAAACTTCAAGCTGTCGCAACAACTTACACAATAATAAAATAAGGTGTGTGTCTCCCTTTTCAGCAGTACATTTCAAATACTTTGTCACGTGTTCCCAATTTATTTTTTTTTTCCTTTCTTGTTCATGGGGTGGCACAGTGGCTCAGTGGTTAGCACTGCTGCCTCACAGTGCCAGGGTCCCAGGTTTGATTCCAGCCTCAGGTGACTGACTCTGTGGAGTTTGCAAATTTCTCCCCGCATCTGTGTGGATTTCCTCTGGGTGCTCCAGTTTCCTCCCACAGTCCAAAGATGTGCAGGTTAGTTGGATTGGCCATGCTAAATTGCCCATACTGTCCAGGCTAGATGGATTAGCCATGGGAAATTCAGGGATAGTGTAATGGTATGGGTCTGGTTGGGATGCTCTTTGGAGGGTCAGTGTACACTAGATGGGCTGAATAACCTGTTTCCATGCAATATAGGGATTCTTTGGTTCTGTGATGTGAGCATCACTGGTTAGGCCAGCATTTGTTGTCCATCCTCAATTGCCCTTCAGAAGGTGGTGATGAGTTCCAGAATATTGACCCAGCCAGACTGAAGGAACAGCAACACAGTTCATTTTGCTTCCACTGACAACTGGTTGAACCTCTGCCCATGCAACAAGGTGTGGACTGTGGACATTCATTCAAACAATGTGTTTCAGATTAAAATCTTCACCTGTAGCCCGGCTTGATGGAATGGATAGCTTCACTTTCTTGCCTAAAGGGGCAGTATGAGATGACCTTGGGCACTCAACCTCAGTCAAAGTAAAACAGCCCCTTGATCTAACATAATTTAGACACCCAAATGTAAAATTCCAAGGCTGGGACACTCAAACCAGGGCTGTCGTCCCTGGAAATAATGTTATCGGGTGATTTTGATTGAAGTTTCTAAAAGTTTTAAGGGGGACCAGATGGAGCGAAATTAATTTCACAGTTTGGGGAGTCTAGAAATAGCAGGCCAGATTTAGTGCCAGATCTTTCGGGAATGAAAATAAGAAACACTTTCTCACACATCAACAAATGCTAACCTTGCTCGTGGCATCTTGATATCAGCAAAGAGTTTTTTTAAAAGAAAAACCAGTGGCAAATCATATTGAAGTGGCTCAGTTTATTGAATGAATCAGGACACATTTTACCTATTTTTCTAATCAACCTGTCCAGCAATGTTTTTCCACACCTCTGGAGCAGGTGGGACTTGAACCTGGGCCTCCCGGTCCATGGGTAGAGACACTACCACTGCACCTCAAGAAGGCCCTCAAATGGAAACTTTTTAAAATGGTTAAATTTGTCGTTGTCAGCATTTAATGTAAAGAGTTAATCAAATGCATTCTGAAATACTACACCTATATCCTTCGCATGAGGATGCCACTGTGGTTCAGATATGGTATCTTCACAATCATTTGTTCCATATTAAACCCACTTCCTCTCCATGCCTTGAATTGGATATTCTTCATTTTTGGATGGTGTGGTGACACTTGGTGCATCCCACAATTCTATAAAGAAACCACACAAAACCTCAAGTGGGGCATGCGTTTCCACTCTCTTTGTGAAAGATTTGTCCATCCACCTATTCCATTTGGCCAAGGATGCGATCCTTAAATGGCTTATTGAGTTACATAGCCAAAGTTTGAACAGCAGATGTTCGATTGCCCGGAGGTGGGATCTGAATATTAATAGGTTACTTTCTTTCTTTAACTTTTTAAAAAAAAAATCATTCACAGGATGAGGGTGTTGCTGGCTAGGCAGCAGTTATTGCCCATTTCTAATTGCCCAGAGGGCAGTTAAGAGTCAACCACATTGCTGTGGTTAGAGTCACATGTAGGCCAGACCAGGTGAGGATGGCAGTTTCCTTCCCAAAAGGATATTAGTGAGCCAGATGCTGTTTTCCAACAATTGATTCATGGTCTTAAATATTGAATATAAATTCCACCATCTGGTGTGGTGGGATTCAAACCCGGGTTCACAGGACATTACCTAGTCCAGTGATCATACCATTAGGCTATCGCCTCTGCTTCTTTGTATAGGCAGTCAGGACATCTATGCCACACATTATTGATCTGTCATTTCGCTCCACCCCATCCGTTTGTCCATCTGTCTGTTATGCATATGCAAAAAAAAACTGCTGTGGACAACTTGCCGTTCAGCTTGGGTTTATGTTTGAAAATTTTGTTCCATTAATGAATTCCATTAATAAATTAATGTTTCATTAATTTGGGGTAGCTCAGTGGTTAGCACTGCTGCCTCACAGCGCCAGGGACCCGGGTTCGATTCCACGCTTGGGCGACTGTCTGTGTGGAACTTGCACATTCTCCCCATGTCTGCGTGGGTTTCCTCTGGGTGCTCTGGTTTCCTCCCACAGTCCAAAGATATGCAGGCTAGGTGGATTGGCCACGCTAAATTGCCCATAGTGTTCAAGGATGTGTAGATTAAGTGGGTTATAGGGAGATGGGTCTGGGTGGGATGCCCCAAGGGTCAGTGTGGACTTGATAGGCCGAAGGGCCTATTTCCACACTGTAGGGATTTTATGATGTTCTATGGTCTTAGTCATACGGGGGCATGCCACCATAAATCTCATCATCATGTCCTTATTCCTCCTGGTAGAACTGTTTCCAAACCATTCCATTCCACAGTTTGGTTCCGGGACATATCACAGTTCTTGACAGATCATCCATATTGCCAAGGTGACATAATGAGTCCTGTGGTTTGGCCACTGATTTGATAAATTATTAGCAACTGGGAATTTGGGCATCAAGATCTTTTGGTAACCTGAAGCAATCATGGTCACCTACAGCAACGTTAGGCTGTTAAGTTCTGGCCTGTTGGCCCACAGTCTTTGCTGGACTCAGGAATTGAGTTGCCCCACAGTTGGGATGGAGTTGCCCTCCTTAGCTCTGGATTCCATGAAGATGTATGATTCAGGTCAGAACAAGGCCATCACCTATGTGTGGGACCACAGGAGATGGGGGAGATACTAAATGAGTATTTTGCATCCGTGTTTATTGTGCAGAAGGATATCAACGATAGAGAATGTGGGGAAATAAATAGCGACCTCTTGAAAAATGTCCATATTACAGAAGAGGAGATGCTGGGCGTCTTAAGACGCATAAAGGTGGATAAATCCCCTGGACCTGATCAAGTGCACCCTAGAACTCTGTGGGAAGCTAGGGAAGTGTTTTCTGGGCCCCTTGCTGAGATGTTTGTATAATTGATAGCTAAAAGCAAGGTGCTGGAAGTCTGGAGGTTGGCTATCGTGGTGCCACTCTTTAAGAAAGGTAGTAAGGAAGTCCCGGGGAACTATAGACCGGTGAACCTGACATCGGTAGTGGGCAAGTTGTTGGAGGGAATCTTGAGGGACAGGTTGTACATGTATTTGGAAAGACAAGGACTGATTAGAAATAGTCAGCATAGCTTCATGTCTCACTAACTTGATTGAGTTTTTTGAAGAAGTAACGAAGAGGATTGATGAGGGCAGAGCGGTAGATGTGATCTATACGGACTTCAGTAAGGCGTTAGACAAGGTTCCTCACAATGGACTGGTTAGCAAGGTTAGATCACATGGAAAACAGGGAGTACTAGTCATTTGGATTCAGAACTGGCTGGAAGGTAGAAGATAGAGAATGTTGGAGGGCTACTTTTTGGACTGGAGGCCTGTGACCAGTGGTGACCTGTGACCATTTAAAAGGCATCTGGATGGATATATGAATAGGAAGGGTTTAGAGGGATATGGGCCAAATGCTGGCAAATGGGATTAGATTTATTTAGGATATCTGGTCGGCATGGATGAGTTGGACCGAAGGGTCTGTTTTCATGCTGTACATCTCTGACTCCATGACTTATAAGTGGGCAAGACAATTTGCTGATTGCCACTTACTAACTATCCTCTTCTGCAGATCAGTCAGTGTTTCTCCACAATGAATAAAAATTACCAGAAGCACACAGAATAAACCTTGGGTGGGGGGGACTTCAAAGTCCCTCACCAGGACGGCCTGAGTAGCAGCCGCACTGAACTGAGCTGGCTTAACCCTAAAGGACGTGGCTGCTAGACTGGGTCTGCAGCATGTGCTGAGGGAATCAACAGGAGGGAGAAATCTACTTGTCCCTATCCTCATCAGTCTACCTATTGCAGATTCTTCTGTCCCTGACTGTATTAGTTGGCGTGACCACCGCAGGGTCCTTGTGAAGATAAGACCATAAGACATAGGAGCAGAAATTAGGCCATTCGGCCTATCGAGTCTGTTCCACCATTCAATCATGACCCGTAAGTTTCTCAACCCCATTCTCCCGCTTTCTCCCCATAACCTTTGATCCCCTTGACAATCAAGAACCTATCTATCTCTGTCTTAAATAAACTCAATGACCTGACCTTCACAGCCTTCTGTGGCAATGAATTCCATAGATTCACCACTCTCTGTCTGGAGAAGTTTCTCCTTATCTCCATCCTAAAGGGTCTTCCCTTTACTCTAAGGCTATGCCCTCGGGTCCTAGCCCCTCCTACCAATGGAAACATCCTCCCAATGTTCACTCTGTCCAGGCCAGTCAATATTCTGTAATACCCCCACATCCTTCAAAACTCCATCAAGTATAGAGTCCGAGTCCTCAAACGTTCCCCATATGTTATGCCTTTCATTCCTGGGTTCATTCTCGTGAACCTTCTCTGGACCTGCTCCAGGCCCAGTGTAGATTCTCCTTCTCAGACTTTGGGAACCCCACTCAAGAGGCTGTGCAGGTTCACCCCAGGCAAACTGCAGGGTGTTGACCACTGCCAAACTCCGTGGGTGCCCATGCCCACCCTGTTCTGTCAGGCCACGGCCTAGTTCAATTTCAGCAGGACCCCTCCCGCCACCACCTCTAATCCAGATCTGCAGGATGCCAGCTCCTTGCCTTTTGCCCGCTGACCTCCTGTTGCCACCCAATGCTTAGCTTGCCCAGTCCCATGGATGGCGACAGAGAGAGACAGAGAGAAATTTGCCCCAGCAAGACTAACCACAAGCAACATGCTGCTGCTCGGGTGCAGGGTGAGGAGAGACTCTGCCTCACCCTCCCCCCAAGCCCTACACTATCCTGACTTGGAACTAAATCACCCTTCCTTCAATGTCACTGGGCCAAAACCCTGAAATTCCCTTCCTGATACACCACTGGAGGTGTCTCCACATTCCAAGGAGGCTCAAGGTTCAAGGCAGCTCACCGCCCTTTTGTCGAGGGCAATTGGAGATGGACAATTAAAGCTGGCCTGGCCTCAGTGAAAAGATTTTTAAGAAAGTGGACATTTATGCGTTGCATTCCTGGTGAAGATGCAACAGTTTTGAGTTTTGATGACCTATTCCGATTCATGCTTCTGAAGTTCAAACCAGTGGCTGCTCCCTGCTCTGTTGATGCATTTGGTCTTGTGCATCCTCTTCAGGCAGGTTCTGTTCTCTTTCCAACCTCGCACCCAGTTTTCAACTAACACTGAACACTCTCACTCCAGCGCAGCGACTTGCCGCATTGGCAGGTGTTAGGACCTTAGGTTTGAAAGCAGTTCCAGTCTTCATTTATCTTGCTGCAGCACCCATTTTTGCTCATCATTTCCTCATACCACGAGCGTGTCTGCTCCATATGAGCTTAAACCCCTGCATATTATGTTTAAAGCAGCTGGAATCACTTGATTCCCATGCGCTGAATTAATGTGTAAGGTAATTATAGTATGTGTTCCTGGGATGTAACACCATTTCCTGGTTCAAAATGGGGATTGGCTTCTGTGCCAAGTACATGCAGACACACGGTATTTAGTGCTAAGAAATGGGGTTGTCTTGTGTACTGCAATTCACTATGCTTGGTGCACTGCCTTGTTCCCATTTTCTTTTCATTCTGTGCCGCTGTCCCCTTTTCTTGCCACAGCCTTCAGAACGAAAACGGAGCCGAGAGAGTCAGTCGACAGACCCCACCTAATTCTCTAATAGATAACTGCATTTTGGGCTATGCTGCCCTTATTTTCCCCGCCTTTCCTCCAAATTCAGTGTGCCTTCAAATTCTTCATTCATGGAACCCCTGAGCACATCTTTGAGCTTGGAATATAGCACCAGGCTTAGGCCATTTTCCCATTGGGCCTGCTCCACCACTTCATACAAATGTGTCTCATCGATCACTTCAGAGCCTCTTGCCTATTCGTCCCCAAGACCCTTTGTGCCATTGGTAATCAGAAGTCTATCCATCCCTACTTTTAAGGCATAAGATAATACAAAGAAATTGTAACAAAATCAGAAGTTGCTGGAAAAGCTCAGCAGGTCTGGCAGCATCTGTGAAGAAAAAATCAGAGTTAACGTTTCGGGTCCGGTGACCCTTCCTCAGAACAAGGAAGTTGTACATTGACCTACGCAGTGGCTGTATATTTTTATTTTGCATTTCACTATCCTGGAATCCCCTCCGGAATGGCATTGTGGGTCAGTCCACAGCAGGTGGACTGCAGTGGTTCAAGAAGACAGCTCACCACCACCTTTCAAGAGCAACTAGGGATGGGCAAGAAATGCTGGTCCAGCAATGCCCACATCCCACAAATAATTTTTAAAAATTGTATTGCCATAATGGAGTGAAGCTGTACAAACTATCCGCTAACAGAGCAGTTTTGATGGGAGGTAGTTCTTGTACAAGAATTGTGATGACTGATTCTAATGAACTTGAAGGTGAAGAATAAGGTGGATTCTTTGAGCACATTGAGTAAACGAAAAAGCCACAAAGCAGATCTGGAAATTAATTCAGGCCCACTGACCCAGAGGTGACCAGAGTTAGCAGGAGCTGAGTTGCATTGTACTATCAATTTATCAAACTTCAGGCTACGTCCAGCTCCCGTTTGAAGTGTTAACTTCCCTCCAGAACTGCTTCCAGTTGTCCATGTAACCCAGATTATTGGATCACTTTCTGCATAATGGTTCCCAACCCGAAATGTCTGGTTTCTGCAGCAATGGATAAGCATGCTGTAGCACAGAGTAGGAGTATATCCCGTGGAGAGCAGCATCAAAAGGTAGTGGATATGCAACACAATGATGAAACCACTTGCCTAGCCCTGGATGCAAACAATGTGCTTTGAAGCTTTGAACGTTTCACTTTTTTTCATCCCCCTCTAACTATACACCATGGTCAATATTTGCTTCCGTTGATCCTTTGCTATATCTCTGGCCACTGACCCACTTCACTTTTTTTCTCCCCCCTGTACAAATTCCAGGCGTGCCCTTGAGCGTCTATTTGACGAGGTCGTAGAAGTTAATGTACTCGACAGCGGTGACTCTGCCCACTTGGCCCTTTTGAGTAGGCCGGAACTTGGCGTAACATTTACCAAAATACACTGCTGGTGCCTCACACAGTATTCCAAGTGTGTGTTCATGGATGCAGATACTTTGGTGAGTTTAATTTTCCAAGTACGGCCGATGAGATAAGTTTGGGTGGGCTGGGACAACAGAGGAAACCACAGCATCTGAGACAATGGGCTGGAAAATGCGATAAGAATAGATAGATAGATGCTTGATGACTGCCATGGACACAATGGGCCGAAGGGCCTTCCTCCTCTGCTACAAAATCCCTGACTCTAAGAAATTTAGGACTTGCATGAAATGTACTTTGCATTGATATTGGTGCTAGTATTGAGAACCTGGAGCTGAGGGAAACAAATGTGGGACATGAACATTGTTGTGAAAGGAGAAAAACTCCAACAGATGAAATGAGTGGTCAGGTAATAGTAAGCTGTGCTCCTTCCTGCTTACCGTTCCCTTAGGAGCAGTGCAGCTGAGGCTAGACTGTCTTGCAATGGCTCTGGGAATGTCCATTTTAAGCGCGGCAACTGGGGCATGAGAATTGGAACACAGCCACAGACCCCTGAACTTAACCCTTGGAGCATCCCTGATCTGTTTTCCATATGTTCCATGCAGACTGCAGAGTTTGAATTGAAGATCTCCCATTGGGCCCAATATTTGTGACATCCCTCAGTTGTTGAGGGGGTGGGTGCCAGAGACTGTGGTTTGCCTGGGGTGTTGAATGGGTTTCCAGATGCTTGTCTAACATAGAACTGACTTTCCTTAATCTGTCCTCATTTCACGCACACAGTAGCCCTTCCAATCCAGAAGCCTATTGATCACAGACACCAAATATCTCATTATTTTTGAGCGCCAAGCGGCATTTCAGTACAAAACTTTGGGAACAGAAACATGGAATTTACAATATTCGGACAAGTAAAAAACAATTATTATTCCTGGAAAGTTTGACCACTATTTGAAACTTTGGGTAAATATTTACACCAGTAATGTTCTTTGATTCACACACTTGCAGTTCAACATTCTAGCATCATTCTACAAATCCAGCGAACTCCAAAATCCAGAAGTGACATGCTCCCAAGTCTTCCGGACTGGAGAGTTTACAGTGTGATGTTTAAACCACTGGAGTTATTGCATTGTACAATTACAAATTTGTCACCCGTTTTAAGTGCCTAAACGAGAATGTTACCTCAAAGCATTGTGCCCGCCCTTTCTCTTTTTTTTTGCATCATTTTATAGGTGTGTAATAACATCGATGACCTCTTTGAAAGGGAGGAGCTCTCTGCTGCCCCAGATCCTGGCTGGCCAGACTGCTTCAATTCTGGGGTGTTCGTGTACAGACCTTCCCTCGAAACCTACAATCAGTTACTCAAGTTTGCCACTGAGAACGGTAGCTTTGACGGTAGGTCTAATCACTCTCTTGCTCATCCAGGCAGCTTGCCACTGTCTGAAGGGACAGGACATGAAGTGAAGAGACCGGTCTGGCTGTTCTAGAGCAAGGTACCAGGCGATATTGTACGTGAGAAATACCAGTGATACTAACCGCACTCACCATTGAACTGGGAGTGAGTTGGGCAGCAGCTTTTTTAGACAACTGAGGAGGTGCTTGAAACACAAAAATAAGTACCTCGTTGTTACCAATTTGTTTATTCGTCTGCAGATGGGACGTTGCATCCATCCCTGAAAGGATTTATATGGCAATCAATGCCCCTGTACAGATTTGCCATCTGTATTCACCTATTGCCATCTGTATTCCTAACCATACCCCACGTCTCCTTCCATCTAGAAGGACAAGGGCAGCGGATATGTGGGAACACTACCACCCGCACTTTGCCCCACAAGCCTGGCTTTCATTGGCAGGAGAATTGAGTTTAAGAGCAGTGAGATTATGCTGCAGCTCTATAAAACTCGGGTGAGACCACACTTGGAATATTGTGTTTAGTTTTGGTCACCTCATTACGGGAAAGATGTGGAAGCTTTAGAGAGGGTGCGGAGGAGATTTACCAGGATGCTGCCTGGACTGGAGGGCAGGCTTTATGAGGAAAGGCTGAGGGAGCTAGGGCTTTTTTCTTTGGAGCGAAGAAGGATGAGAGGTGACTCAATAGAGGTGTACAAGATGATGAGAGGCATAGGTAGGGTGGATAGCCAGAGACTTTTTCCCAGGGCGGAAATGACTATTACGAGGGGGCATAATTTTGAGGTGATTGGAGGAAGGTATAGGGGAGATGTCAGCGGTAGGTTCTTCACACAGAGAGTGGTGGGTGTTTGGAATGCGCTGCCAGCAGTGGTAGTGGAGTCAGATACTTTAGAGACTTTTAAGCAACTCTTGGATAGGAACATGTAGGATAGTAAAATGTAGGGTATGCAGGGTAGGTTAATCTAAGTAGGACAATAGGTCGGCACAACATCGTGGGCCGAAGGGCCTGTACTGCGCTGTACTGTTCTATGTTCTATGTAAGTCAACCACCATCCTGACTTGGAAATATGTCGCTGTTTCTTCACTGTCGCTGGGTCAAAGTCCTGGAATTCCCTCCCTAATTGCATTGTGGGTCAACCCACAGCAGGCAGACTGTCACGGTTCAAGAAGGCAGCTCACCACCACCTTCTCAAGGACACCTAGGGATGGGCAACAAATGCTGGCCAGCCAGCGATGCCCACATCTCTCAAATGAATAGAAAAAAAGAACTACCCCTGTTCCCAGTTCATATGACCTTATTTTAACTAGTGCGGGTTTAAAGGGTTTTGGGGAGCAGACAGGAATGCGGAGTTGAGGCTGAGCTGAGATCAGCAGTGATTGTATTGAATGGTGGAGCTGAACTGAATTGCTTACCCCTGCTCCTAGTTCTTCTTCGTAACTGTGACCCAGTTGGTACCACTCCTCACTGAGTCAGTAGGTAAGCATTCATATCCCAGCCCGGGACGTGGGCACGTATATCATGTCTGTGGAGAATGAGAATAGAGTTGGACTCAGTTGCAGCCCCTTTAAGATCAGGTCCTTTTGGACTGCTGCTGGAGATTAATCCTTGGGGGAGGGGGTCCCCGATTGTTGAACAAATGTTGTATCTTTCGTCTTCCTCAGCCATCAAGAAGGTGCCAGCAATAGGCCACAGCTCTCAGATGTAGCTGGAGTGCCAAAAATAACCCAAAGGTACATTGGGGAAGTACTGCATTGTGCAGTCAGGTGGATTTAAAAATATCCATATCGCTGAAAAAGAGCAGGGGAGTTAGCCTTCACGTCCTGGCCAATATTTATCTTTCAATCAATATTACAAAATACGGCCTTGTTGCTGTTTCTGGGAGCTTGCTATTTGCATTTCCCTTCCGTGTTTCTGAAAATGCTAAAGTTTTGTTTTGCGCGTAGTACAGGCAGATCATACCATACAAAGTGCATAGGGTGATAGAACAGAGTGAAGAATACAATGTTATGGCTGCAAAGAAGGTGCTAAGAAGCAAGCCGAGCCAGGGATTCTGTGAGCCTCCGTTGTCTCTTCACTGCGTTGAAGTGCAAAGAAGTCAAAGATGCCGTTTGAAATAAGTCTACAGAGGCTGGTATCCCATCACCAAGTCACCCTTTATTTACATGTGAATAGTACCGGACACCTGATCCAGCTTTTTCAGAGCCAGGTCCTAGAGTGAGCGGAACCTCTGATACTCCTGTTTATATCTGTTAGCCAGGGCTCCCGTTTGGGGCTGTTAACCTGGTCCACTCAGGGAATTCGTATTCTGGCTGACCTCGTTCTAATCACTACAGCTGAGAGCAGCCAAGTTAGCACAGAGTGAGTGAGCTCTAAGAAAACAACCAAAGAACCGCATGATGCATCCTGTGCAGACACACGAGATGGGTGTGTGTCTCCTCGTGCACAGAGCAACCCAGCAGCAGCATTGCAATGTCAGCTACCCCTGAGCTCCAAAGTGCTGCAGTAGTAAAGAGGTGAAGTGTATTCTGACTCAGCCACGATCGGCCATGATAACATAGCGAGGCTCGTGTTTGGCCGATTGTTGAATTCTGTGGACAAAGGCTTGTGGTGGTTGCTGCACATGGAGTGTGCCACAAGACATTAGTGACTGAAGGCCTCCATGCTTACCTATAGAAGAAACCAGTGTGCTTCAGCTAATGGCTGTGACTTTGACTTGCAAGTCAGGAAATGGCACCAATTTAGTTTCTCCCCAGTGCCCAGAAATGAGGTCAGATTAGTGAACAGTGAGATACAAATGCAAAGAAATAAAGTCATTGCTGCATATCAGCGAGATTCTGATCTGGCCATTGAAACCTGAGGGGGTACAATAGATGCTTTCCTGAATGCTCTTGGCATATTCTCCCAAATTATTTCTCATTGCTCAAGCTGTTTAAATGATGGGGGAAATTCCACCCATTGGTAACCCTTCTAAGCATTCTGTTTAGCACTCTGGTCTGAGGGTTGGGGCCAATTTAATGGTGAACTGTTGACTTTCGGCAATGGGTTTAGATTTGCCAAATAATGTCATTTTCAAATAAAAGCAAAAATCGAGCCTGGTGACATCTGAGGAGGGAGAGGAACAGAGCTGACATTTCATGTTCTCCATTGGAGAAGTCGGAAATGGAGTAGCTTTTAAGCAAACGAAAGAGGAAGATCAACAAGTTGGAGTGTGGGCAATAAAGTGCAAGGCAGGAGAGATTGAAGGATAAAAGGGTTTCGGTTGCAAGGCTATAGGGAGAGGTAACGGGACAAGTCAATTAACAAAAGAAGAACTGAGATGATAGAATGATAGAGAGATAGAGAGAATTTTCTGAAGAAGGGTCCAGACCCGAAACGTCATCTTTCCTGCTCCTCTGGTGCTGCTTGGCCAGCTGTGTTCATCCTGCTCCACACCTTGTTAACTCTTATGACAGAACGATAATCAGCCGCTGTCCAAAGCAAAACAAAGAAATGCATGAAAAGCCAAGCCAACAAAGAGGAAGGGCATGAAATGGGGACAGTGGGACGGATTCAGAGGTTGTTGGAAACATTGCACAGAAGGGCTCGGTTAGTATTGTTCCCCAGGCTGCCATTGATCTTTATTGGAATACCACAGGAGGCCAAGGACAGAGACCCCAGCAGCAAAGGACTAAAATGACCAGTGACTAGAAACTCTAGGTCATGCATGTAGACTGAACATAAAAAAAAATCCCTACAGTGTGGAAGCAGGCCATTCGGCCCATTGAGTCCGCACCAACCCTCTGAAGAGTGTCTCACCCAGATCCAGCCTTCCCTCCCCCACCCTTTCCTTTGACCCTGCATTTCCCATGAATGATCCGTGTAACCAGGACATCCCTGGACACTGTGGGCAATTTAGCATGGCCAATCCACCTACCCTGCACATTTTTGGACTGTGGGAGGAAACCTGCACAGACACAGGGAGAATGTGCAAACTCCACACAGACAGTCATCCAAGGCTGGAATTGAACCCTAGTCTCTGGTGCCGAGAGCAGCAGTGCTAACCACTGAACCATCATGCTGCCCTGAACAGGTCGGGTGTTTGCAAGGCAGGTCAACTGGTCTGTGTTTGTTTGGTCTTCCAATATAGGAAAGATCATACCTTGAGTGGAGAGCACCGTGTATTAAATTGCCAGGACAAGTTATTCACTGCTACGCCTGGAAGGCTGTCCTTTGTGCCGTCAGAAGGAAGGAGGTAGAATGATAAGTCTGGCGTTTCCTGTGCTTGCATGGAAAGGGGCTGTAGGCAGGGAGAGCTTTAATACAGGTGACTAGGAGTAGATCAAAGTATTGCAGAGAGAACAATTCCTACTGAAAAGATAGGGGAGAAGAAAACACATTTGATGGCATCACACAGGAGTTGGCAGAAATGGTAGAGGTGAGTTAACTGAATGCTGAGGCTGATGGGATGGAAGGCAAGGGCACTTTTTAATGATTCCAATTTTCTGACTGGGAATATATCAACCAGGAGGAGAAAAACGTGCTCATCTGATTCAATATCATTCGATATTTGTTTGTTGAGATTCTAGAACTGCTTTTCCTTTTGCCTCACTGTGGCAGTTTTCATATCTTTTTCTTTGCCCTATATACTAGGGGGAGATCAAGGCTTGTTGAATAGTTTCTTCAGTGACTGGTCTACAGCAGATATCTACAAACATCTACCATTCATCTACAACCTCAGTGCCATTGCCATATACAGCTACCTCCCAGCCTTCAAGCAGTAAGCATGCTCTTACCTGTCATACTTTTAAGCAAAGTAGCATTTAATTTGTTGCTTAATGATGCATAGCAAACAATTTGGCATCAGTTTGTCTAACAATACAATCACATAAGCTGGCATTGAACCAATCTTGCTCCTTTAAAAAAAAAAGAAAACAGAAATTGCTGGAGAAACTCAGCAGGTCTGGCAGCATCAGTGGAGAGAGAAAGCAGAGTTAATATTTTGAGTCCAGTGACCCTTCCTGAGAACTCCACAAGGCTCCTTTTGTGGCCTGCCGCAGCACGAGTGGTATAAGGCCAGATATGAATCATTGATTTTGCAGACAGAAAACAGAACTGCAGAATGCCATCTTAATGTAATCTTAATTCAATTAAGTTCAGATCTCAATAGGTTGAGTCGCATCTGTAGAGAGGGAGGAGGAGAGCATTGACATTTTGAGTCATTCAGACTCTATTGTCTATATCCTAACTTTGGCTTACTCCTGTTTATCCATCACTCTCATGCTTGTGAACCTGCACTGGCTCTTTATCTGCTATGCCGTGTTTCTGGAATTTTGTATCCTTGTTTCAAAATACTTCAGGAGCCTCACCCTTCCCCCAACTTCGATAACTCCTTCAAGATCTCCATGGAACTCCAACATTGCCTTTAGCTACCTGGGCCTGAAGCTTTGAAATTCCTCCTTTTAAATTTTTTTCCTACATCACTACCTTTTATTTTCCTCCCTTACTTTACATAGTCCTTAGGTACATTTCCTCATTGAGGAAGCTGATTAGCTCAGTTGGCTGGACGACTAGTTGGTGATGCAGAATGATGCCAATAGGATGGGTTCAGTTCCGGCACTGGCTGACGTTACCATGAAGAATTCCCCTTCTCAACTTTTCCCCTCACCAGAGGTGTGTTGACCCTCAGCTTAAACTACCACCAACCACATTTCTCTCTAGTGAGAGAGCAGCCCTATGGTCTGATTAGACTTTGGCGATTTAACCTTTACCTGCTTCAAGCCACTGAAGCAGATACTTGGATAGCCTTAATTTGCATCTTTATATCTGCTCCTATGTCTATCCTTTGGACGTTTAACTACCTTTTAAAGATGCTTTATAAATGCACTTTGTTGCATTGTTGTTGTAGCCAATAATGGTTCATTGTTAGGCACGCATCCCTATGTGCAAACAGGAAGAAAATATTCTGAAGAATCCCTCTCAGCTTTCTCTCATCACCTCCCTGCTTTATGCTCCATATGAAGAATTTCCTTCTGATCAACGCTTAAACATTGGCATTTTATTATCAGCCATTCTAAATTTACACAATAAACACAGTCATCTCTTTGGGCCATCAGATGGCTGCATTCGTCTGATGTACTTGTATTTAGAGGTCACCTACTTCGCGTGTGTTATGTAAACTGTTTACTTTTCTGTAAAATCTCTGTTTACTGTGTAACCTCCTTCTCTTGCTGCAGGTTTGGCTCCAGTCTGAAAGTGTTTCATTTCCTGGGACCAACTAAGCCATGGCATCACAAGTACGATGCTCAGACCAAGGGTGTTATCCAGGAGAACATGTCCCCCTCAGACTCGCTGTTTATAGACTTTCTGAATTTGTGGTGGGACATCTACGCCACCTGCATTTGGCCATTGCTGGTAGAATACAAGGCTGCAGACACAAAGATGATCGAGTACCAGATGGTAAGCTGAAAAGAGTGGGACCCTCTGCATTTCACATCCTGGGATGAGTCCGTTTTACAGTCTCTTCGAGGATTTTGTGCTTCCAAATGTTTTGTTGGGCACAGCATCACTAATCAGTCTTGTCAGCAATTTGATCAACTTCTAATGTTTGGGGATTTGGCTGTGTTACCTAATATTTAATTAAAATATCCCAGGGTCTTCCATAGAGATAGTAAGAACTGCCGATGCTATAGTCTGAGATAACACAGTGTGGAGCTGGAGGAACACAGCAGGCCAGGCAGCATCTGAGGAGCAGGAAAGCTGATGTTTCAGGTCTGGACCCTTCTTCAGAAATGGGTC